AGACACCGACTACACGGCGATTAATGCCGAAGCCCGCGATATAGCTGCCGATCTGCACCTGGATGACCGAATGGAATGTCTGGCCAAGGCACAAGCGTTCGTCACATTAAAGGATCATAAAGCCGACTTCCATGACAAGCTGCAATGCAGACTGATTAACCCCGCCAAGTCCGAAATAGGCGTCGTAAGCAAATCCATACTGGATGGTGTTATCGGCCCCATGCGGAGCAGCGTATGTGAGAATCTGTGGCAGAACACGCAAGCGGTCATCGAGTGGTTCAAGGGCATTGAAGACAAGCCGCGGTACACCTTCGTCGTGTTCGACATCGTCGAGTTTTACCCCAGCATAACGAAAGACCTTCTGCTGGATGCCCTGTCGTACGCCGGGACGCACGTTCCAATGTCCAAGAAGGACATTGAGACGATACTGCACGCACGGAAGTCATTGTTGTTCGACGGCGGCAAAGCATGGATGAAGAAGGAGAAGGACGGGTCATTCGACGTAACAATGGGGTCGTACGACGGCGCAGAAGCCTGCGAGCTTGTTGGGGCTTTAATCCTCAGCAAACTCCGTCCACTCCTGGGCGACCAGTGCGTGGGTCTTTACCGTGACGACGGACTAGCGATAATGAAGGACGCCACGGGTCATGATGCCGACCGCACGCGCAAACAGATCATACAGATATTCCAAGCACACGGCTTAAAAATAACAATCGAAACCAACAAGAAGATCGTCGACTACTTGGATGTGACCCTGAATCTCGCCACCGGAACATTCCAACCATACAGGAAACCGAATAGTACACCCCTGTACGTCGATGTGCGGTCCTGTCACCCACCGCAGGTGCTGAGACAAATACCCATTGGCATCAACAAGAGGCTGCAACGTATCTCATGCAATGAGGAAGTGTTCAACGATGCTAAAACGTTATACGAGGACGCACTGGCCTCAAGTGGCCACCCGAAAACCATGACATACAAGGATGAACCGAGCAACAAGAAGAAAAAAGCGAAGAAAGGGCGCAGCCGCGACGTCATCTGGTTTAACCCGCCGTACAGTACCACGGTCAAAACCAACGTTGGCGCAAAGTTTCTATACCTCGTCAAGAAACACTTCCCTGAAGGGTCGGCGCTACACAAGGTGTTTAACAAGAACACAACAAAAGTAAGCTACAGCTGTATGAAGAACGTAGCGTCGATTATCAAAGGGCACAATGCTGCAAAACTTCACTCGCGACCGCCAGTTGTGCCATGCAATTGTCGGGTCAAGGCGTCGTGCCCCTCAACGGTGACTGCCAGTCTTCCGACGTCGTGTACGAGGCACATGTAGCATCCAACGAAGTCAAGACCTACGTCGGCATGACTGCTACCACATTCAAGCAGCGCTACAACAAACACACTTCGGACTTCCGCCATGAAAAGTACGCCGCATCGACTAAGTTGTCCAAGCACATCTGGGATCTGAAAAACGAGAACCGCGGATTCGACATCAGATGGGAGATCAAGGATAGAGCACCTTCGTACACTAACATCAGCAAGAAGTGTGGCCTATGCTTAACCGAAAAGTTCCACATCCTGAAAGCTTCAAAAGCTACCTCCCTAAACAAGAGAAGTGAGCTGGTATCTAAATGCCCTCACCAGCGCAAGTTTCTGCTGGCCACCCCTATTACATAGACAGCTATGACCGCTTCGGGGTTTTTGACGCGTGATTGCAGGAGTTTGTGTGCGCTTAGATTTGTCATACGAACGCAGATGCCTGTGTATACGTGTGGACATGTGTCTATAGGTGTGTGTATATGCGTGTGTGCGTGTGTTTGTGCGTGTGCGAGTTAGGGTGTTGTGGGTGGGTGGGTGTCCTGTGTGTGCGTGCGCCCGTGTGCAAGTTAGGGTGTTGTGGGTGAGTGTATGTGTGTGTTAGTGTGTGCGTGTATGTGTGTATGTGTGTGTGCGTGTTACTATGTGTGTGCGTGTTAGTATGTGTGTGTGTGGTGTGTGAGCGACATTAAGCGCGTACTTGTTAGTGCTAGACCTGCGCCTACTGCATCTGCCTCTGAAATAGCCCGTCCCTGTATACATTCACGCGATTACTCCTCTCGCTATCGTATTATCACACCTCTCTCCACTTAGATATACCAGCGCTGCCTCCTATTCCATTATCGTTGTCTGATGATTGGTTCAGCCATGAAACTCGGAGTCACAACGGAATAAATTTGCCAAGGTTTTCATTGTGTGCCTTTGTGTATTATTATTATTATTATTATTATTGGGGAGCAAACCCTTTTCTTACAAATCATCGCCGAGGTCGCAACTCGCAATACTTCGTATTATTATTATTATTATTATTATTATTATTATACGCATTCCCACGGCAGCGTCAACCAAGCAGTTATGCTTGATCCACACGTTCACCTTCCCTTATGCTGGACATTGAAACAAAGCAGATGTAGACAGCTCCTAGAGAATGGGGCTCTACAAAACCAATGATCGAAGTTAGTCCTTCAGTAACATGGAGCGTCATAAAATTGGTCTCATTGGAAAAATGTCATCACTATTGTCTCCTCATGTAGCATCATGGTCAATGGGTGGCCAGATAATTATACGTATGAGGTTGGGTTCTTTTTAAATTAAGGTAACTCAGTTAGTGCGGATGCAGTTTTTGCCTCTCCCCAGATTTGAAATATTCCATCGTGTAGGTTCATTCTACTGGCACGTAACTTGCCCTATTACCTTCCATTTGACTTTTTAAGTCGGCTGCAGTGGTTTTAT